GTTCACTCGCAATATAGGCGGGGCTAACTGCGAATTAAATATAAAAGTATGACGAATAAAAATTCTCCGTTAACCTCAGTATGTTAAACGGCTGGACTGATTAACCTTATTTAACTTCTTGGTATTTAACAGTAACTGTAGTCTTGATAATAAACTTTTAATTTAAACAATTTTGTCTATTCCTGTTCTTAAAATAATTCTCATTAAATTTCCAGGAGGAGCAGGACACTCTGAAGACAACGAGGACAATTCTGAGAAGAAACAGAGTAGCTCTTTGCTTCTCCTTACACCCGTTTTCAAAATTACGCGACCTCCCTGAAAAATACTCCTACTTCAAATGTCAGTTTTATGTCACAAGAACTGCTAAAAATAGCAAACGTAAACAAACTGTCTAAAGACATTTTAAACCGTATTTAATACCAAAACTGAACAAAAATGAGTCAGATAACTTAGATATACAAACTAAAGCAAAATACAAACCATCACAACATAATTTTTTTTTTTTTTTTTTTTTTTTTTTTTAACAGCTTTATTGGACATACATATAAAAGGTTACATATTATTATACAAACAAAGACTACAGGGTATACGTCCAATGGGGCTAGCGCAAACGGGACAACGAGACCCATGCAGGGCGCCACCCCTAAACTAAACTAGTGAAAACAAACTTATTTACTATACAGAATATATACATATATAACTTAGGACTTAAGTACGGTGACAAGGGCAGTCTCTTATGAGCGACCAAGTACATGTCATATCTACATTAAAAGTACTGTTCACCAAGGCGGTGAATAATATGTGAATAATATGTGAATAATATGTGCCGTGAATGACTTTTAAAGTTTGAAAAATAACAATTTATCCTGGAATATAGCTGTCAGTATAAAACACGTGCGCTAGACTATAACGGTGATGTTATGATTTTGTCGTGCTTAAATTTTACAATAATTCTCACTAAAATATCTTGAAAATCATTGTAAGTCTGTTTATATAAAGCATACAAAGCATATACATCGAAAAGGAACCGCAAAACTCAAAGTTTGAACTTCGTGATCGAATGACATAAAACTGACATGTCAACTCTAGCATTTTCGTCTTTGGTCGCGTAATTTTGAAAACGGGTGTAACTTAAACTTTAATCGCAGCACAGTTAATAGAATACATGGTTTGGAGACTCGATGAAAGTACAATAGAACTCATCAACTATGTTGGTTTCGGTTTATGCAAGAATTTGGGCCTATCTCGTCACGTGTGTATTGTATTTTTTCCTGCACAACCAATAGCAATGTTTAAATTGAGCATTTGTTCAAGTTACGGGTGGATAACTCAACCACAAACTTGTTATTGGTTATTTGAGCGAAAATACAATACACACGTGACGAGATAGGACCAAATTCTTGCATAAAGCTGGACAATAACATAGTTAATGAGTTATATTGTACTTTCATCGAGTCTCCAAACCATTTATTGAAATAACTGTGATCACAGGCAGCCCAACACACACGTAAAGTTGTTACAGGTCTGCAAGCAAGTTGTTACAAAAGCTGTCGATAAGTTGTGTTCGCACTGCTTGTTCCCAGTTATTGTAACAACTTTGGAACAAGCTGTTAACAACTTGGAACAAGCTTGATGGCATTATCAAACTTGTAGCAAAGTTGTTCTGACAAGCCTGATACAGTCGTGATATAACAAGAATGTTACAAGGTTGACCACACAAGGTTGTAACAATATTGTTATATCATGACTGTATCGGACTTGTTGGAACAACCTTGCAACAAACCTGATAATATCAACAAGATTGTTACAAGTTATTAACAGCTTGTTCCAAACTTGGGACAAGCAATGCGAACACAAGTTGTTGGCAGACTTGGTACAAGATTTTTCCGTGTGCTGTGCGTGGTTACAAACTCTTTTATGAAGTCACAGAGTGAAAAATTTTGAAAGCTCGTGCCGTCGCGCGTGAAAATCTTTCACGCTCGTGTCTGGTCGCGTGGTGCTCGCGCGTCCATACACGAGATTTTCACGCGCGAGGCCACGAGCTTGCAGAACTTTTCAAGTTCTGGGACTTCATAAAAGAGACAAAAACCACGCATTTTTGGCCTGCCTATGCTTTAACCAAACTGTAAAATAATCGTTATTGTTAATGAATCATCGTGAATGATAAATAGTTAAAACAATGCTAAATTATAAGTAATAAATTGTTGTTAATTAAATATAAAAAAATGTAATTTTTTTAAGTATATAAATAAAATTCATAATGTAGATTTCGTCTGGTCTGCTGTTTTGGTCTTGCTATCCTAAGTATATAAGCATACTTGCAGTGTCATAGTAAATCTTTAAATGCTGAAATTTAAGTTTCTTCGTTACTATTAATGAGTCATGTTAGGCCAGGAGGGGTCACCAAATCTATTACAGTAAATTTCAGCTGACTTTTCATCGTAAGATTCCAAACTTCGTTCCGAACTTCGCAAATTTGTTGCCAAGTTCAAAAGTTCATAATGAAATTCACAAACAGTTTGTAAACTGGGCATTTGATTGGCTGGTTTGATTTAATAGCCAATCAGAGGCTTTGTTTACAAACCTGTTTGTGAATTTGATTATGAACTTTTGAACTTGGCAACGAATTTGCGAAGTTCGGAATCTTACGATGAAAAGTCAGCTGAAATTGACTGTAAGAGGAGAGTTTTTTTATGTTACGTGACACGCGCTCAAAACTATAATGAGTATAATATAGCATTCGCGGTTCATTAAAAAAAATTTATTTTTCGATACATTTCTCAATCGGCAAACAAACTTAAAAAGTATATTTAGTGCCTTATCTGTAAAATAATACTAAAATAAAGAGATTTTAGATGTTAGGCCAAAGAGAAAATGATGTCTAAAGTCCAGAGAGTTTTGCTTATATCGGCTGTGTAACTTTTGAAGCAGCATTGATGATTGTGTTTCAATTGGCAATTTTTTACTGTGACTTTACGTTTCTCAACCGGCAAATGCATTTAAAAAGGTAGCTAACTGTATAAACTAGAGAGTAAAGCTAAAACAAAGCAATTTTGAGAGGTATACAGTACTCCAAAAAGATTTTCGGTTTTGAACACTTTTCAGTTTTCATCGCAAATACACGGCATAGAAAAGGCTCTTAATGCTTAATTAACACAACCAATGCATGATTTCAATGTCCATTGGTTGAACCAGACAGTGGTGGCTTTATAGGGGGGGGGGGGGGGGT